ATCCAGAGGCCCTAAGCTACTAATTATTTTGGAGCTAGTGCTAGCGCAAACGTGGGGAAGAAGGAAGTAGTGAAGAATATAGAAATGATGGATGTTGGGAAATGCAAGGATCGGAGGTGAAGGAGCAAGGGCAATAGCTTTTGGATGGGAAGAACAATGTAGGAGATTATCACATGAAAAATTGAAGTGTCGTAGAGGGTAAGAGGTTTAGTCACATTGATGATGAGAAGGAAAAGGAAAGAAGGGAGCAGATGATGGATTTAATATTAATGTTTTGTCGGTTGATGATGCTCTTGAAGGCAATGGATTGACTTGTAATTTACTTCAAGCGATAGTGGGGAAACACCTAGATGTCACTGCACAAGGGCATCTTTGTGAAATGTCATTAGTGGATCTTATTTTTGATGTGCAAGATTTGGCTTCTGTTCCATCATTCTCTAACAATGCAGGCAAACTATTTATGGTATACGACAATGATACTTCGCAGCATTTACTCAAGGATAAGTACAAGAGGTTGAGAATCAACAACTCCTGAAATCATAAGCCAGTTGGTTTGGGAATATGCACGGAGAAAATGCAATAATCAATCGAAAGGTCCAACTTGATGTATAAGGAGAAGGAAACGACTGCAGCAATTGGATAGGAATCAAAAGCTCTTGTTGAATGAATTACACAGACATGAATTTGGGGATTTTAGTCGGGGTATTGTGAAATTTACTATGGTTTTTTTATCAGAGTAATATGTGCTGCCAATATAAACAATTTAATGCGTATATGTAGTTTTTGTGTTTTACTTTTTACTCTATAAAATGCAGTAGAAAAAGAATAAAAAATGATATGATGTATTTTAAGAATTACCATTTTATTAAAGATATTACATGTAATTTCTCCCATTTTACTTTCATTTTTGGGAGCCATCAAAATTTGGAGGCCCTAGGCCTTCGCCTAGGTGGCTTGGTCCTAGGGCCAACCTTGCTAGTTTTTTTACTATGATATGTAATACATTGAATATTAGTTTT